GACCTTGATTTTGCTCAATCAGGTCAGGATTTTTTGCTACAGAAATATTTTTTTAAATCGATTTTGCGTAAAAAAACAAATTTCTGCGGATCATCAGCTGAGAAACCCTCAACGTTTTTTCCGTTTTCCTCAAGAAATAAAAGTCAACGTTAGTGTTGTATCGTTCGTGAACGATTCGTTCAAAATGAACTAATCTTTTATATGACTCGGGAGTAACGAGTCTTCTCAGGGAGCGATTCGTTCATTTTCATGCAGTACCTTCTCTCGCCACATGGCGGCAGCTGCATGAGCTCAGTCAGCAGCAGACAGGAAACAGAAATGATTCGTTCACCACTCACTCAGCTGGATCCATTCTCAGGTCCCAGTTCTTTAGTCACGTGACAGACAGGCTGTCTGTGAGCAGCAAGCACTGCAGTTCCTTCACGATTCGTTCATACGGATCCTGACGGATTGCTCTTTCGTTCATTCGTCACGTGACAGCTGTGGCTGGCTCAGACAGCTACGGGGCTGGGGGACTGTTGACTGAGAGCTGAACAAGGAAATGATTGATGTCTGATATCTACAGTTTATTTGTCATGTGACACCCGATATAGATTATTTATTCACGAAATCATAATTATAGTGGTCTTCAGTCCTTGTTGTGTTATTGTATAGCCTATATAATGAATGTGTTTGTAAATAAATACTTTAGAAAATTATATCAGCATATTTATTGTGTTATACTCTGCCACAAAATAATAAAACATAACAATGATAACAACAAACACAATAAAAATAACAATAATAGTAATAATAATAATGTCACTTTTTGGACACAATAAATGCACCATGTAAACATAGGCAACTCATCAACTATTATTTTTTGTTTTAATTGTATCATTAATTGTCAAAATTAGTTTTACATTCGCTGTCCTCTCCCCAGCTGTCATGTGATCGACTGCTCGGCCGAAAGGGTCTCTGTCTGCTTAGGCTGTGGAGCAGAGCAGTACTTGTTCTCGTTCAAATCGTTCATTTGTCACATGACTCGCGGGCTGACCGGGTCTTTCTCGTTCATCGTTCACAGCTCAGTACTTCGTTCTCGTTCGTCCAACTGGTTCCTTTGTCACATGACTCGCGGGCTGACCGGGTCTTTCTCGTTCATCGTTCATCGGTTCACAGCTCTGGCTCAGGCTGACACTGTGCGCCAGCAACATTGCTTCTCTCTGATTGGTCTGTTTTCACTGTCACGTGACAGTTACCCAGACTGCCGTGCTGTTAAACAATGATAACAGAGAGGATACAGGACACAAGTTACATTATTGTGGTGTGTGTTAGCTTTCCTGGGTTTTCAAATGGCTTGAATAGCTTATGGCATTTTGTGTGTTATACTTTGTCACCGTAAGCAAACCATCTTGTCTTCAGTATTTATAGTTGGAGAAAACACGTCGTCGGCATGAGTCCTGCATTGTGGGCCACTACAGCGCCATCTGCTGTACAAATGAACGAAATGATTCGTTCGGGACTCGTTCAATTTACTGTTCGAGAGTTAAAGAATCGAATCAGAGGAAAGAACCGGTTTTCCCATCACTAGTCAACGTATCCAAAGTCATTCAGTTTTTATTTACTCCATTAAATTTGATAAGCAGAATTCATAATAACGTAGACGTACGTAATCCGTAACACTATCGCGCTTGCAACGTCAAGTTTGCGGCATTAAGCTGAACAAAATCATCTGCAACAGACGAGGCATTTTCCATCAATGTAGTTGTAGCAGATTGTGTTGAATGTATGTTGTGTTGATGAAATTTACATAGTTGCTCTTTTGTGGCTGCACTTGCTGTTTGTTGTTCTTCTAACTAAGGCTGTTATTTCCATCCATCCATTTTCTACCCCTTAATCCATACAGCAGCTGTATTCATATAAAATAGATTGTGTATATCATTTACAATCCTATACTAAAACTGGGAATACTGTATATTTATTTACATTTACTATATATATTAGGCTTATTATGAAGCACTTTTCATACAATAGTCTGATAAATATATGTATGTATGTATAGAATGATGATAATAAAAGACATTTGAAGATGAGAGTCTCACTTCCAACAGGTTAAAAGTGGTTAGCCATGCTTCTAAGTTTTATTTGTGTGTATATTTCCATTATATCATTCTTCTGTTACTCCTCAGAGCATCTATTTTTCCTGCTGTGAAAGGTTGTACTTCTAATATTAAATACTGGAAGGATTTCTGTATTTTATTTTGTGGTGTCCATGTTTTAATTTGATGTTTGTGTTCTTTTTCAGAGACTTTTGGTGAAATGGAACTCTGACTTTCTCTGACAGCAACAAAATAAAAAACGCCATCGTTTCTCCAGCTTCACCTCCATCCCCTCCTGCTTCACCTCCATCACCTCCTGCTTCACCTCCATCACCTGCTGCTTCACTGCGGATTTACAATATGAACTCCAACAAACATATTTTCATGTTTTATTTAATCATCAGTCATGAATAGTTAGAGCAGTGGGCTCTGCATCTCTGAAGACGAGGAGCAAAAGGAGGAGCAGCAGGAGGAGCAACAGGAGGAGCAGCAGGAGGAGCAGCAGAAGGAGCAACAGGAGGAGCAAGAGCAGTATCAGGAACAAGAGCAGGAGGAGCAACAGCAGCAGGAGCAACAGCAGAGTCCGGGGGGTCTGCCTCTGACACAGGTCTCTTCTACAGTGTGAGCTTCATAGAAGAGGCAGGAAATAAAAAATTAAAAAATCAAGTTTGTTGGTTTTATTATGATTTAGTTTTTTGTGTGTGAAGTGTAAAGAGTCATGAAAAAGAAGGTATCATTTACACAAGTACATATTTATCAGCAGTACTTATACTTCTAATTGAATACATTAAAGCTGCACTAACTGACTTTATTTTCGTATTAATTACGAAAATGCTATCCATGTCCATGTAGTGCATTGGGATATACGTCCTTTTAAAGAAAAAGTAGCGCAGATTTGTGCTGGCCTGACATTATATTTTCGATCGAGTTTTGATGAAACAAGGAAGAGAATGTGTTTCGGGTCGCAGATTGTGACCAATCACAGAGCACCACTAGCCCCCACTTTCGTGAGAAATCTCCAGGTCCGTTAGCATAGACGGCTGAGTTAGCACAACAAGCGGCGGAGCTAACCTAAAACTTTCTCGTCTTCGTCACCGGGTACTGCTTACACAGCGAAACAGCCATCCAAAAGAAAGTCTCGTTCCTCCGCGCTTCCCGGTTCTATCGTTCTATGGTCACGCCAACCACGTGAAAATCCATATCCATGTATTATCCATATTGGGAGAGGCTAGCTCCGTCTCGACACTGTGTGTGTGTGGGGGGCGATAGCTTCGTGGGTGCGGGGAGGGGAGCAGAAAGAGCGAGGCCAGCGAGTCCGCGGCTTCAAAATCCCAAAGTCAGTTAGTGCAGCTTTAACTCTAATCTGATTAGTAGCTGTCTGTTGCTTTTCAAGGCTTCAAAAAGAGCAGTTTCAGGCATCCCCTGTTTTTAACTCCTCTTTACTGAGGTTCCAGTTATTATAGATCCATGGATGTTCTAGTTATTAGAGATCCATGGATATTCCTCTCTCATCAGCAAACACACGTTATTGCATTTAGGTCTGATACAAATTACTTGTAAGTGATGCACAAACGAGGGCCATAGCAAATATATCAATCATATATCATTTATCGCATATGTGCATTGTTTACATAAAATATCACTTTGTGAAAACGAATGATTACTGCCAATACAATTGTTACAACAGAAAAAGTCCGTAACAAAAGCCTTGTCTTTGGGGTTTTCAGAATTAAGATTGGGATGTTTACAATTTGTCCCCGCGTTTAGACGTTCTCTTCTTGGCTTCAGCACTGCCCAACCCTCGCAGTCTGCATAGGAAGAATAGTCCGACAATGTTCTATTTTGTCACCAAACAGACCTTTGATATGGCAATAGAGGGGGATATTTCTTGCCTCAAATGTTATTATATAATTAACTTTTATGTCCTAATTAAAGCGTATTTTAAACTTTTTACTTTCCATCTTGGCCGCTGTGTCCTTCCTCTCCGAGCGAGTTGTGTTGGCACCAGAGCGGCCCTGCCCCAAAACTCTCTCTTCCCTGACGCGCCTTCAGTCTGTCCTCTAGTGTTCTGGACGCATGTGACGTGCCTCCAGAACGCTCTGTGACAGCCTCTGTCACAAGCGTCCGACGACGCACGTCAGACGCGATTTTGACGGCCAAAACGCGTTTTGTCTGAACGCAGCATAAAAACAGTTTCTTCCCCTCTGCTGTTGGACTCTTGAACACAAAGGACCATCTACACTGGGTTAAGGATCCAAAGTTTCGGGAGTTTGTGCTTGGTGTGGGACAACACTTTTGCACGCTGCCCAGCCGGCACAGTCGCTTTGCACTATTTCCGCGCTGATTCAAAATGCTCTTGCTTGAATATTTTGCATAGAAGGATGACATAATTCATAGTTTGGGATATAGTACAACATGTCTGCCAACTAGTAGCAGGAAGTTTGTATGACGATTGACAATTGTAAACAACACCTCATCTTAAATGTACAGTAAAATGGCATCATTTCTTTTATGTTTAACGCTTAAAAGATACTTTTAATAACCGTTTGTTAATCTTGAGTCCAAGTCTGACTCGCAAATCCTCATCTCCTTTTCACACAGATTCATACTGTAGATGGGCAGCAAAGTGGCTAGCAATCTCGCGTCCCTGAGTTTGAATCCCGGGCGGAACAGGGAGAGGAGTTTTGCATGTTCTCCCCGTGTCCGCTCTGATTTCCTCCGAGTGCTCCGTTTCCCCTACCACTGAAAATATGTTCAATAGGTCTGGCATGCAAGTCCTGTCTGGCATATTTTTTCTGTGTTTTCTCAGCCAACTATTGTGGGAAGAAAAAAATGCCCACATTTGTAAAGCACTTTGTAAATCTGGTCTGTGAAAGACGCTATATAAATAAAGATTACTTACTTATGAGCCCATGAACTCACCCTTCACTCTGGACACTGTGTTGGTCAGCCACAGTCTTGAGGCAGCCAAGGCTCCAACACACGTCCCCTGGCTCCCCCTGCTGCTGGGGCCCCTGTGATGCTCCTCAGAGGATGAGTACCCAGAGCTGTCCACAGCGCTCTGGGCTGATGGAACCTGGAGGTGGGTAAGTGGGGCCAGGCTGGTCTGGGGAAAAGGAGGGAAGGTGGAGCTCCTCAGAGCAGGTCTGACACCACTCCAGGCTGACACGGGTGCTAGAGAGCACACCAAAGGAGACAGATTAGGCACATATGGAGGACCAAAAATTATAAATATATCAATAAAGGAATATATAAATAAATGTTCAATGAGTTTCATTTTTATTTAACATTAGATTTATTTTGCAAACAAATGCATGCATGTATGTGGGTATATATATTAGGAGTGTGACGATATATCGATTTTTTTGATATATTGCGATACTTTCTCCCGCGATCGATTATCGATGTGCATTTGCCAAGTATCAATTTTGAAAAAAAAACGTACAATTTTTCTATTTTATGTATGCCATATATTGGCATATGGTATATTGCTGACCAATATATCAATAATCGTCATATCGTGATATAATCATAATTGTGATATAATCATTATTGTGATATAATCATTATCGTGAACTTTGTATCGCGTATCGTATCGTATCGTGAGGTACCCTTAGGTTCCCACCCCTAATATATATATCAATATATGTATTTATATACATTAATATATAGATTTATTGTTTTATTCATATCTAAAACAGTTATTTATATATATATTAGGGCTGTCAAAATTATTGCGTTAACACACGTTAATGAATTATTTTCATAAATCACGTTTTAAAAATGTATGCATTTGAAGCATGTGCCAAATGACCCATCCATGCATCCCATAATACAATCAGATGTGCCGCTCACAGGCTTCTCATTTTGAGAAACTGTAAGAGAATTATGTTTATATAATCAATTAAATGAATAAGAATGTGTTTTACATTAATCTAGAGTTCAATAAGGCAACTCACCCTTTGGCATTATCGGCCAGGAAGGGGAAGTAACCTTTAGCCACCTGGCAAGAGCTTTGGAAGTCTGTATGCCACAGACACATCGTTTATATGTAAATAGGGAGTGGCTTCCTTGAAGCATTTGGGCATTGTTACCTTGTATAGAGGTTTGAATAAAGATCCCAATACAGGGAGCAGAAGGCAGTAGTGACTGAGACGGACAAGCTGAAGGCTGTGATTTGCCTTGTCCAAATCCTCCATCTCAGTCACTATCTCCTTTTTTCAAGTAAAAAAACTAATATTTGTCTGTGTGGTTTTGTCAAGGCAACTGTGGCTTGAATCAGCATTAACAGAAACCCTCCTACTCTCCCCAAAACTCTCCTCCTACAGAGTCATCTAGTTTTCTGTAGCAATCTGATATGTATGCAAAAATTAGCATTAGCGCACTTCTTGTGAGCTGTACAACAATCACTGATGAAATGGTACGCACTGCTAACAAAATATAAAGTTCAATAACGGAAAGATTACCGCCAGTTTTGGTCCAAATATAGTCCGAGGCAGTCCCACTCCCACAGGTCTCTCCAGTGAGGATACAATGTAATCTACCTATATTCACTCGGGCTTGATTTCTTCTTTGATAATTTTTTCGCTTTAGTTCCCTCTTCTCCTCCTCACTTTTGCATCTTTTGGGCTGTTTTCTTGTGTATGTAGTTACAGCCAGGGGAGGTATAGCCACTTTCTGCTGCCATGCTGCTCTTGTTACCATGCGCTGCAGACGCTAGAGGAGGCGTGGCCTGATTGCAACAGCGCCGCCCCTCGTTGTACAAGTGGAGGAGAACTAGCGTCATGTAAAGTTTCTACTCAGATTTATTGTTGTTACAATAAACGAATACACATATATATATATATATATATATACATACATACATACATACATACATACATATATATATATATATATATATATATATATATACAGTTGGGCAAAAAAGTATTTAGTCAGCCACCGATTGTGCAAGTTCTCCCACTTAAAATAATGACAGAGGTCTGTAATTTTCATCATAGGTACACTTCAACTGTGAGAGACAGAATGTGAAAAAAAAATCCAGGAATTCACATTGTAGGATTTTTAAAGAAATCACCTGGTGAATGACCTGCAGAGAGCTGGGACCAAAGTAACAAAGGTTACCATCAGTAACACACTACGACGACAGGGAATCAAATCCAGTGCATGTCCAGGCCCAGGATTGTCCAGGATTGTGCAGGGAGAATTTGCACAATCGGTGGCTGACTAAATACTTTTTTGCCCCACTGTATATATGTAATCTATTTATTCATTGGCTACAGGAGCCTGGGGAGAGGGTCTTATTTATGAAACTTTGCAGGAGATTGTATAATAAAAATAGTATTACGTACCCAGCTCATACCAGGGCACGACTGCACGGGCTCTGTTGTGGCTATCCAGACGCACCTCGCGCACTACATCTAGGTGCTCGAATCGAGCGCATCTCCCAGTCGGCCCCCTCCAATGGCCATTGTGGGTGGTGCCCTCTTTCTTTTTATTAATGTTTGTTTCAACATGTGTATAAAATGAATGAACATGACTCTTGCTCACTGCAAAAAGTGAAACTTACAATAAAATAAGAAATGACACTTGTCCGTAATTTAGGTCATTACTGCAACAGGCTCTAACTTTTAAAACTATTTTATAGGCCGTTCCTTATATGCGGATATTAGACACAAGTCACACGGGTCCCAACCCATGTCAACACGTTATATAGTCCTGAGTTCAAATACTAGGACCGCACAAATAAAATGGCTAAAAGTCTTTATTTTGTAGCTTGAGCAGCCAGGCCCACCTATAGAGTGGTATACTGTATCAGCTTATGTTATGTTCTAATCGCAGATCACAGAGGTGCAGACATGGAAGTTGCTTTGCTCTCTTGTCTGGCATATATTAATTCCTGACTTTGGTGTGAGTCATTTATCAACCAAATGGACTGCAGTTTATAACATACACTGACTCCGGCCTACTTTTTAAGCTAATATGCCTGTGTAATTAGCATATGCAGTATAATTTGTATAAACGTGATATTAACAGCAAGTTACAATATAACGGGTATGATATGTATGTTTAATACGATAAGCCTTAAACCTCAGCTTGCTGTTTAGCTGGAACTGCTAATGACTTGTGTGCGTATCCCATCCAAAATATGAAAATCATCACAACATACACACTATGAACTTGTAGTATAGTATGATTTTGGTGATTGGTATGGTGCTTACCCCTAAATGTCTCTTCCAGTGGCTCCTCCCGGGGCCCTTCCAAACTGGTCCTGGAGCTCCCAGGCCTCATATCAGGACCCACATCAGGCCCAAAGCTCTTCTTTCGCCCACCACTCTTCTTCTTGAATACCCTGCAGAAGGTCAGGTGTTTTTGCGACTGGACCTTTAAACCTTTGTGTGTGTGTGCCTGCGTGTGTGTGAGTGTTACTTGACAGGGTTTTCTCTGTAGGAGATGGTAGTCACACTGCTGGAGTCAGACTCTTCATCTGAGAGCAGACGTGTGCTGCGGCGAGACATGGCTGGAATACACGCATAAGCATGCGCATACACACAAGAACACACGCACATACACAAACACACACACACACACACACAAGTGCTATTATTAGTTACTTCGCATCATAACCATTAAGGTTGTATTCTATATAAAACATTGGTCATTGGACTGTAAAAGTTCAATCCACTTATTCACTCGTTGTCTACATATCCTGGTCATAATTTTGTCACTTTGGTGCAAATTAGTTGAAAGATCAACTTTCTGCCTAAAACCGTCTGTGAGGCGCCATCTGCAGGCGACCTGTATTACTACATTTGAATTTTGAATCCGGCGCCACCATTGGCGCAGCAGAGGCCGCTTCCGTCTGCAGTGGCTCGTTACGTCAGCAGCCCCGCCGCTCTGATATATAAACGGCCCAGTCGCGTACACGCCCCCGTAGCAAGTTGGAGAAGGAAAAGCAGAGAGTATTTTCATCGATTGTCAGGTTTGCGATTAGTTATAGCATTTAGGGAGATTATTATTAGCATAGCTGTTTGTATTATAGATAATTGTTTAGTGTTAATGGCGTTGTTGTTGAATATTGTAGTTTTAGTCATTAGTTAGTTGCTTTTATTGTTAGATTAGTTAGCTAAATTTAGCTTCAGACTTTTGTTAGTATTACTAGTGTTCTATATCGTGTGCATTTTCATTGTATATTGTTTATTGTACTTGTGTACAATAAATACTACTTTATGTTTGAGCGTGTGTTAAATTACTGTCTCTTTTGTGCACATTGGGGCATTATTTTCCTTGGGGACAAGGAAGGCATCCAAACTGAATTAACTCATCTGGAATTATATACATATCTAAAAGAAAAAGTATGAACCAACTGAAAATTTTTGTTATATTCTCGGTTCAAAGTAGCACCATATATATATATATATATATATATATATATATATATATATATATATATATATATATATATATATATATATATATATATATGGTGCTACTTATATGTGTGTGTGTGTGTGTGTATGGCATTAAAACGGCTGTTTTAATGCCATAAAACAGTTAATTCAGTTCATTTCCTCTATAAATTCATTCATGTCATTGATGGCCTAATAATAGTGTAGCAGCCTACATAGGATACAATATATGCAGCATAATATGAATAAATATATATAAATATTATTACATTAATTATGAGGCAGGGTGACCAATAGTGACAGATCTGCCAGCCAATCACGAGAGATTATACTTATTTGAAAGTAGTGATTTCATCCAATGGGGAGTAAGCTACCAATGGGGAGTAATCCCACGTGGGCTGGCCACGTGTGATTTTTCAGCCAATCACATACATATCCATTACCTACACAAAACATGTGTAGATATACCAAATTCAATTTCCATGGATATGTGAGATTTCATAACACTTTGAAGCAACTTTTGTTCAAGTTAAACTCATCATTCTATCAATGTGCAGAAGCCAGTACTTTTCCCTTGTTTTGTCTATCTGAAGGCCAAGCTACATGGCACTGTGGCAGCTGCTGATTGGAGGTCTCCATGCCTCCGCTCTGTATAATACACTTGCATTCTGTTGTTCGTGTTGTTCGTGCTGTCTCTACCATCGACAATAAAACATGTTTTTTTTTTTTAAGCCAAAACTGAGAAACCTCAAGAGAATGCATCTGGATCAGCACATGGACAATCTGCACAGCCCCTGATTCCAGTCAGGCTGTGAGCTGCTGAGACATGGACAATACCATCGTCCTCTTTTGCATGGACACCATTTGGAAAAATTGGATTACACAATTTGGACATAATTTGGACTGAATTGGATTTCTGAATCTGGACACTGAAGCTGAAACGTGTGATTGAACGACACGTCACAGAAGAATCATGGCTCGGCACAAATGCAGCCTGAAGAATCAAAACAAAGAAGTGGGAGAGACTGTTTTCAAAGCAATATCTGGAACCACCATCGACTGATGAAGTTTGGTATTTTACAGAAGATTGTTGACAAGTTTTTTGAAAGATCTGAACATGTTTTATGAGTTTTCTGAGTTTTTGAAGTATTCCGAGTTCTGAGTTTTTTGAAGTACCGAGTGAAGTTTATGAGTTTTTGAAGTATTGAGGCATGATGTTATGTACACGAGTGTACACTGTATTCTGAATACTTTTACTTTGATTAGCAATATATAGGCTGTGTATAATTACAAACATTTAAACTACACATGTTACATATAGCTACCATTAATTAGGAATTCTAAAATGCACAGGAGTAGCAGATCATATGGCAAACATTTGCATTAACTTGCATATAAGGCATTTTAAGCGTCCTGCACATCCGCACGGCTCATTCACTCAGCGGTCTTTCGTATTAGATCCTGGGTTTTCTCCAGCGCCTGTGTGGTGTAGCAGGATTGTCTAAGACTTTCGCTTGAACGATCAGGGTTCGAGCCCCGGCCAATCCTCACATTTTATTAGCGGGGGGAGTATATGAATCAGATTACTCCGTTACTGAATAAAGTTGAATTTTTTTCCTGCAGTTTGGTTGGTGCAGATTGTGAAGTTTACAACAGTTTACTACAGTCTAGCAACTATTTTAAATGTGTTGGCCTAATTACTAAGTATTTTTTTATTTAACACTGGAGAAAACGTGCTCGGCTTTTGCTCGCCTGAGTGATAGGCTATGTGAAGATGTTTTGCATATGTGAAGATGAACTGGATTTTCGACATTCCTGTAGACTCGAGCCCTGGTCAATCTAGTTCAATACAGTTCAGAAACTAAGCAGACATTCTTCAGCCAACTCCATTGTATTTGTAAAACACGGAGAAAGAAAGTTTTCCCCCATCATAAATTTGTATTAGCAATATCGTGAGAATGTGTTTTATGTTTAAAAGTGTCGCTACTGAATGCTAAAGTTTAAAGGATTGACTCTGTAAAACACTGTACTAACTTACTGCACTGTATTGTAAGTACTGTAACAATACAATTGTATTTTACTTTATTACTTATTTTTACTTCTTATTTTTTAATAAAAACACTTCTTCTCAAAAGTTCCTTTCTGACTTCTTCTACAGTATGGGATAGCCAGCAGCAAGTGCGTTATTGAACATGAAACATTGGAACAAAACAAACACGAGTGTACACTGTATTCAGAATACTTTTACTTTGATTAGCAATACAAAAATTTAAACTACACATGTTACATATAGCTACCATTAATTAGGAATTCTAAAATGCACAGGAGTAGCAGATCATATGGCAAACATTTGCATTAACTTGCATATAAGGCATTTTAAGCGTCCCGCATATCCGCACGGCTCATTCACTCAGCGGTCTTTCGTATTAGATCCTGGGTTTTCTCCAGCGCCTGTGTGGTGTAGCAGGATTGCCCAAGACTTTCGCTTGGACGGCGGGGTTCGAGCCCCGGCCAATCCTCAATTTTTATTAGCGGGGGGAGTATATGAATCAGATTACTCCGTTACTGAATAAAGTTGAATTTTTTTCCTGCAGTTTGGTTGGTGCAGATTGTGAAGTTTACAACAGTTTACTACAGTCTAGCAACTATTTTAAATGTGTTGGCCTAATTACTCTCTGACAATGTTTAAAACCAGGTTAAAGACGGTTCTGTTTAGCCGTGCATACAACTGAGGGATTTTATATTTTTATATTTTTTTTTTTATGTACTGTGATTATTTATGATTTTGATGCTTTCTTGTTCTGTTCAGCACTTTGAATTGCCTTGTGTATGCCTTGCGACAGTAGCTCAGTTGGTAGAGCATTGGCCTTAAGGCCAGAAGGTCGTGGGTTCAATTCCCACCTCTGCACCTTCTCCACCGACTCCCACTGATGACTGCTGTCGTTGTGTCCTTGGGCAAGACACTTAACCCAACTTTGCCCAAAGCCCCCACTGAAAGATCAAGGCTATGCTCACACTCAGAGCAGCCGTCCTCCTGTGGACTCACCACCTGCAGAGGGTCAGTGAGGGGCTGGTGCTATGAGACTTGGGTGGCATCTCTGACTGCCACCCCCTGACCCATAAATGGATTAAAGGGTAGAAAATGGATGGATGAATTGTGCTATACAAAGCTTAGGCAAGGCAAGTTTGCCTTGCCTAAGTATGTTTTAGAAAAAATGTAAACGTCAACAAAATCAAAAGTGTCATAGACTGTACTTGAACCCGAGTCCTCTCACACCAGAGTCCACCTCCTTAACATTGAGCTATAAAGCCACAGAAAGTTGTCCGGTGAACAGAGAAGAAAGACCAATGAGAAGCCAATTTTCCTAACCCTGCTCACAAGTGCCACCTGGTGGTTGTTTGGGTCATTGCAGCATCACTGGGGAAAAAATAAATAAAAGACACGTGAATCACACGTGAGTCTCGTGTGATTCACGCGTGAAAGGCGACAAAACGAAATGGGACCTACTGTATATGTCAGATTTCCGTCAGTGCTGCTTAAATAAATATTTTTCTTTTACTGCACAGCTAAAACTAATTAAATCTGGAAGACTCAACGAAGATTGCATTCGAATTGTGTAGAATGTCAAGATGCAGGAACAAACACCAGCTGACTTAGATTGAGTACTATTATATTTATTGATAAGCTTTGGCAATCAGACCCCGGCGAGAATACTGCATGATGTATGCCGAAGGGAGTTTAATAGAAATTAAAGCCACAAGCGGCATCGAATGGCCCTCGCCGCACCGCGAGTTGGTGCAGCCGTGCCATGATTTGCACCTGTAGCCGTCGAACAATGTTTGTAAAATTATAATGAATATAATCAGTTGGTTTGGCTCCCCGTGTGAAACTGTGGCTCAGTCTGTAGGGGGCGCTAAACAGTCAATGTAATATTTCACACCTTCAGGTGACCTAGGCCCAGGAGTAGAACAACCGAGTGAAGTTTAGCTCAAATCAGACTTTGTATGTGTAAACAGGAGCACATGTGTAATCTGTCAGTGTGTCCATATAAATAGTCTCCATTGGATGACCATGTGACTAATCAAAATTCTATGAACAACTATTGATT